GGTTGACAGTAAAACTGGTTGACAGTAAAACTGGTTGACAGTAAAACTGGTTGACAGTAAAACTGGTTGGCAGTAAAACTGGTTGACAATAAAACTGGTTGACAGTAAAACTGGTTGACAATAAAACTGGTTGACAATAAAACTGATTGACTCCATCAGAACACCATGTACAAGATCAGTCCGAGTAAAAGGGTGAACGATGACAAAGGAATGCTTTTGTTGCAGTTTATTAATTTTGAATGGCTTGCGACTTGAATTCAGACAGGAGATCGTGTTGGTCTTCGGCTGGTCTTGTGGGGTCTTGTGATGGTCTTCAAGAGGTGTCCTCTTCAACACATACTATACTAGAGCTTAGCAGTACGTGCGCATGAACATGTATATTGCGGATCCCTGACGACCAGACTCGGCGTGATGTCAGACAGGCTGGCGCATTCTGCATGAGAAGATAGGAAAGATAGACGTGATTGTCATGGCAACATCCAATGGGAAAAAGTGCAGGAATACGTAGGCCTGGCGTGGTGTTACGTGACTTGTTTATGTGACAGCTCTAGCTTACAGGTTCGTGCCTATGGCATTGACCAGTTTTCTTTTGGAAGCACGGGGGAAAATAGCTCATGCAGAGATGAGATTGGTCTTTCATGAAGATTGGTATCGACGCCGCAAAAGGGCACTGCAGAATCCTCGTGACACCCAATTTGTGTCCGCTTTTCCTCCTACCTGCCAGTCCCATTGCTTGACTGAACTCGTCCCGAATGATCTGTAAGACCTTCCTCACCCCTTCCTGTCCCTACGGAGGAAAGAGATCACGCCAAAAACGTTATACCTACACAAACATGTAGGTAGGGTTATTCACTGCGGGACCAGTATACCGCGGAATCCAACAGTCAAGAGACCATCTCAACACATGCAAAACCGTTCATCATGAGACCAGTCACTAGATTTGACACAAGACCAATCTCAAGACCAGCTGCTGCCTGATGTGAACAGCTACAAAGGTTGCAGGTCATTTGGGTAGCTTCTGACGTGAGTTCAGACTGGAAGTCTTGCACTCATTTTGTGATGGTCCTGTAGAGTCTTGTGATCATAAATGTCCCTGTAAAGAAGTCTTCACTACGTCACTGTTGGACGCGGATTTTTACCTTCCACTTCAGCTTTGTTCATTCAAACTGACCCACTATTTTGCTAAAAAAGTAATTCCGAATAGACAAAAACTTAAATACAAACGTGTCATACAGGGCACTCATAAAAGTCACAACTCCACTTCTACAAATCGTCTGAGCTCTTGAAATCCCTCTGTTTGTCTGTTTTCTTCACTTTCTTATAAAGTGGACAATGTCTGTTATAAAACACCTTTGACCTTTTTGTAGCCTAGACGGCACGTGACAGGAGGGAAATAGTTACATCGTAAGCCAGTCCCCAGAGCACTGGCCGGCCGATGAAGACAGCTCTGGCGCCCAAGGCAAGAGCTTTCAGGACATCAGTGCCTGACCGAACACCGCCGTCGAGGTATACCTCAATGCCAGAGCCACGGACTGCTTCAACGACCTCTGCCAACACGTCTATCTGTAAGATGAACATCATGAAAGGGACCATGTTTCTCATTTCAAGGGCACAATTTTTCTAATATTATTATGGTGATATTTTTTATACCGTATTAACTTTCTTTATATAAAATTGTTTATATAAGTTTCACGTACCGTTGCCAAAGAGCCGTCTAGCACACGAGCGCCATGGTTAGAGACTACGATCCCCGCAACTTTATGTTTCATAGCATCACGAGCGGTGGCAGCTACATGGTAGAACAAATATTATAGGCCCTACATGTATTGCGCATAAAAATGCATGGTACTGATCACGTGATAAAGACCGTCTGTCGACACATATTTCGTCATTTGACTTCCGAGTGTCGGACTCGAAGTCACGTGTCTGTGTATGTCAGGTATGTTGAGTTTACAGCAACTGCAACAGACGTATTACATGAAGGAAGATCTTTAATAATACATGCAGTCTTGGTTTTCTGCAAACTGTATCCGCTGGGAGCGGGGACATAAGGGGGCGTGAAAATGATGGTCCTCTGATGGGAACTCACCGCGTACGGGGTGCCAGTTCATGCGCGTTTGGTGTGGGGCACGCCGAGTACACGCAACGATCGATGCTGGAATGTATAGTCTGCGCGTGTGCGCCTAACGCTTGCAGGAACCCGGTTGGAAAAGTTCTCACCAGCCTGTCTTTCTTCCAGCGGTGAGGGTGCACTTCAACTCAGAAGAGGTATCTGTGTGTATGGGGGGGGGGCCTGGAGAAGGAAGCATGTTACAGATTCACCAACCTGACAAAACTCCCTTCGCCACGATCGGCAGCGTAGTGAGGCTTTTCAGCCAGTCGATGCGTTCCCACGTCAGCTTAGGGTTGGAATTCCTCTCAACCGTTGTGAAGGACCGACTGCGTTCGCCCTCAAAATTTGCGAATCTACCGACGCGTGGAAAGAAATGAGTACGTAGAAACTGAAGATTCGTGGATCACTGGAATTAAGCTAAATTTGATCAGTTTGAATTCATCTCTCAATTTCTGAATTTTCAGTTTTAAAGGCCAACACATACACTGCCCAAACTGGCTGAATTTACAATAACAATATAGTGCCACGCAGTGACAATAATGTGATATACTAACGAAGAACGAAGACTTTGACTTTAATTTAAGTTTGTTGTTTCACCTGATATGGGGCGGCATCAAGTTCGGCCCCGCCTTCCTCCTGGACATTTTGGCGTCAAGTGACACAAACAGAGCTTTGTAGCCTTTCTTCTCGGCCTTCTGGATGGTCTGGCGCACCACCTCCTCGTCCCTGTAGGCGGTAGTTTGAGCCCACAGTAACCCGTTAGGAGATGCCGCTGCCGCCACGTCTTCCATCGGGGTGGAGGTATAGGTACTCAAAACCATACCGGTTCCCATGGAAGTGGCAGCTATACCGATCCACACCATACCAAATGCAAAAACGAAATCGTGGTCGGTTTGCAGTTGGTGGACTTATAACATCCGCGTGTAACATGCACTCACTGTTCCGATAAGGAGCTTTTAAAAATGGTACTGCGTATAGTTGGAAGAGAGGTGAGTAACGGCCGCAGTAAGCCAGCTTGGACCAAAGTCATGAACGTTACCACCTTGGATGACGATCACTATCCGTTGTCACGGTTGTGCCAAGTACAATCATTTTTTTACTGTACGTATAACTCTGCCTTCCTTTTCAGCCATTTTCAAAATCAGTTGAATCGATACAGTCAAGTTGCATTGTGTAGAATTGAAGCATTACATTGCTTCTTTTATGCGAAAAACACACGTACACAAAACATCAATGAGCCACCGTAGAAAGTCGAAATTAGTGGGTTCGTTATATACCACGGCCCAAGCTTTCGCGCTATTGGCTGTATTTTCACCTACCTCGCGCAGTTGCTAACTCTCCGTCATTATGCGCAAGCCGATGCAACGCTGTGGGCGCTATGGCGACAGGGAAGGCGATTTCCTGACCCAGCACCGTGGTACGGAGGTCACGATTGGACACATCACGAAGCGTGTTTGGTCGAAGTCTGTATCTAGAGGGTGAAAGGTCACCGAGGAGAGAATACAAGGAGTTGAGAATTTTATTTTATAACACAACTTTCATGTAGGCCTACTTGAAAATGTCTCTTACTGTCAAACTCTTGTCTTTTTTAGAAATAATAAAAAAATGGTATTAGGCAAGGGCAACATTCTTTCGTTATCATAATTTAACCATGCACTTCGAAATACATCCAATCCTGGTTTTGCATTGTCCAAAGAATGGGACTTATATCGGAAGGGTACACTTTCAATTCAATTCAAGAAAACGTTTATTCCATACTCTGTTAAAAACATTACATTAATTAAGAGAAGTTGGTACATAGAAATTGACAGAATAAATAAGCTTAAGAAATACATCAGAAATTTAAGAAACTTAGTGCGTTGAAATAAGAGGGATACTGCAACCAAGCGCGAGATATTTGCACAGCTCACAACAAATTAGAAACTAACGAAGAACATTCGAAAACTTATAACATACGCCATTTTTGGACGCTCAGCTGTAGCAAGCCTCCCTGGCTGTCCAATATACTTTTTTTCGTTGTCTCGGTATTATTGTTCTTATTCTAACACTCTATGTGTACTTTACTGAGATCGGGTATACCTGCGCTGTAAAAACTCTGGGTTGATTTAACACCTTTGGTGTTATCAGATGACCATACCACAGGATGTTGCTTTAACACCGCTGGTGTTACATTGTTTACCTATAAGTGTTATAATACACTGGAAGATGTTTAAAGTAACAAATAACACCAATATTTTTACCACTGGTGAAAAGTGTTGGTGTAGTCCTCTGATAACACTCGGGGTATTAAAGTTAACATCCCAATTTTTGCAGTGCGCAAGGGTAAAAAGGACGAGTGAATAAACCGAGCAATGGCGTAAATGAGCCATGGGGTTTCATTTTGCAGGGGTGCACTTGGGGTGACTCATTTTCTGGAGGGAGCCGCACTTGATGAGTTCGGTTACAGTTTAACACTGACCAAGGTGAACTGCTGTAGATCACCGGATTTTTTTCCCATGGAAATGAGTCTGCGTGGGGCTAGGCTACAAGCCTAGAGGCGGCGTGCCTCTATATGCCCCCAGCCCCCTTATTTGTGCGTGACTGAGCTCTGCTGAACCAACACTAATTTCGGTTCTTCGACAGCTTGGGGAATTTTGATAATGTGCAAACTTGAAAGGTAAAATTATATTTAATATGCCCGGAACACGGAGGAATCCAACTATCGCGCACCGGTGCATGTTAGCTAGCCGGTTGTGGGTTGTCTCTTCCTACTTCGATGGTTGAACCTACACACACAACCAAGGAACACGTCTGCTCTATACATTGCCCCTTTAAAAGGTGGCTCATATGCTGGACTACCTTTGTAGTTCAGTATATGAACGAAACGACATCACGAGGGGCTATCGATACAGCCTGCTGTGGTTGTTAGTCATACCTCTGAAATGCCAGTTCATTGTCCCTCAATGTCTGTTCGGGGTAGGCACCACTCCTGTAATATTCATAGGTTTGGGCTGGCATAGACCTCTTAGCGAAGGCTTCGAAATCTCTTAGACGGGTGGGCGGTGGAAGGTTCATAATTTCCCCCAAATGGACACAATCCAGGCCTATTTTGTGCTCACTGAACGGGACACACGCACACCCCGGCCCTCTGCAACACGTCACTTGTATTAGTAAACACATACTGTACATGTACATGTAAATGTATTTTGTTACACTATCAGGTCAGGTCATGGTACACCAGATAACAACAGATCATTAAGACAGGTTGACCTTGGCTAGATTTGTAGCTGGCCCGATCTCTTCACGCAAGCAGTAAACAGCCGTGCACATTACTGTTAAAAATTTAACCTTTTAATTGGATTCGTCATTTTTAATTCTACTCTAGCCTCTGCAGTCTATCTGCAGCTGCCGTCGTACTGTAAACTACAGGCAAAGACCCAGACTTGTTCCCAGTCCCCTATTGTCATTCGGCTGGAGTACGATATGCCGCTGTTACTATGCTGCATGGCAACACCAGCGCGCTGGTATGCAGCTGCAGCGGCATCGGGAGGCAGTGCCGGGTTCGCCACTGGCCAGACAAGACTAGCCAAAAATACCCATATGAATAACGCGACCATTAAGCCGGCCATTACTGCAGTAGGTGGCGACGTATTTCCGCGCAACGCTTGCGTTAAAAACTTCTTTGAATGATCCTCGAGCTGGACCAACACAGGTTGCAAAACCCACAGTACTTCAAGCGCCTTCAGGTCCAAGAACGCACGCGCAAGACGTGGGTTTTTCCGCCTTTGCTGCTGCAATATTTTGAATGTCTTGGGTATCTAGTATTCACAGATAGGCAATGTTAGCTATTGTAACACACATCCTGTTTTTTTTTATCCTGTCAGTTGAAATACAGTCCCGTGTGGTTCACTAATATGGGCTGGTGACTCGTGACTACACATTGCGCGCTTGCATTCATTCCAGAGACTGTAGTGCCCGTGTAGGTATAGGAGTCCAATCTCGACTCCATGGGCTGCGTGCGCGTTCCTACACTAGCAGGCATGGTGGGAACATGGTGCGGTAAGATCGTAGTCATGGGTTGATTACGTGACTTGAAATTTTTTTGACTGGTTATTGTGCCCTCTGGAGGTTGAAAAATGTCAAGTAGAATTTAAACAGTTAAAATCCTGGAAGAATTCGTTTCCTTGTTGAGTATAGCAACTCAAAATTAGACTGCGTCAAGGGACACTAAAATAATTTTTTTTAACAAGTTTTGAAGTACGCTCATGCCTTAGGCCTGTGAGTGACCAGAAGAGAGTCATATTTCCCTTAAACCTTCCTCCTCGATAAATAGGACCCTAGCTGTTCTGGTGACTCACAGTCCCTCAGGGACATAGACGTCGCGTACTAGTGACCTCATTGTCAGTCCATGTTTAAGTATTATATTCCTTTCAAATTTTTTTGCGATGCTGTCCTTTAAACTTTTCACAATGCCGTCACGCCACATCGCGTCTCGATTTTGCCAGGTCAAGCCCATGAATGCCGCCAAAAAAGGCTTTTGGTCAACTCGATTACGTGTAAGCGGGATTGTCACCGTCAAATTTACTTGCCGTTTCTAAGGCTTTGCCGCCGATATTCACGCACAAAATGCACAAATTTCCTCATGCGAAGGTGGCCTTCTTGTCGTCCTTAAAAGTCAAGCATTCGAAACACGGTGCGCGGTCCGTGATCGATAAACTGATCATGGGAAACATCGACAGGTTGACTTTCCACCCCGAAAGCGACGACGTTCTGGATATCGGGTGCGGTACTGGCTATGGGTCTGTGCTCATCGGGAGTCGTGTGCGAAGCGTCGTTGGTGAGTATCTACCCCTGCCCCCCCCTCCCAATTTAAAACAGCCTTGAAATTTAATGCTTGTGTTCGTATTTGGCAAGAGCGGTATCATTTCCCCGACGTATATCTTTGCAATTTTGAGTTAATTCATATATGTGACTAATTTTTGCCGGTAAAGGTTTGACTATAACCGCGAACAGCGCCGCCGGTCGTTGCAAACGGGTACTGCCCTTGAACGAGTGCACGCACTGCAATCTGGAATTTCACATTTCGTACCGTAATTTTATCAACCAATGCATGTCGTTCAATACACATTTAATAAATGCACATGTAATTGTTAAAAACTCACACAATTGTTGTTTTCATGTTAATTGCCTGTGGCGACATAGCACAATACCCAGAACAACATTCATGTATTCCATTTTCCCAGAGCTTTAAAATGAATTGGTGCATATTTAAAAAGGTATTCATGAAATCAAAGGGGAGACTGCTTTGATTGATGGACTACTGGGCTTTTATGCGCTTAGAGTTGTGCATGGTTGCAGACTTCGTCATCCAAGCAGCGGTGTTGGCTGAACCGGGGTGAAACGTTTGCGGAGGCAACCAATGTGGGGCTGCCAGTATACACCAAGTTTGAAGGGCACTGAAAGTATTTAAAATGTAAGCTTGCAAGCTGGTGTACATTCAAGCTTCAGTGTGGAAGTGTGACTTTTAGTCCCTCTGTGGATATAATTATCATGCCACTTGCCCCACGCCTTACACAATTTCATATAATCCACTCTTCCTGTATAGGCATAGAGACAGACGCTTCCAAGCTAGAAGTTGCCAAGAGAGATTATCCTGCCGACAACGTGACATACGTGAAGGTAGACTCCATCGAAGATCTCGGGGAAAACTTCAACAAGTGGCGGAATGGCTTCGACAAAGTCGTCTGCCTCTGCGCTCTATATTTCGTGCCCGACGTAGAGGCCGTGCTCCGTAACGCGTTCGATTGTCTGAAACCAGGTGGGGAGAGCCTCGTTATCATGCCTCACGACGACCACAATCTGTTCCAGGGGGCGCTGGATTTCATGCTAAAACACGAGGAGTGGAAAGCCTTTCTTAAGGTCCGTACAGGCGTACAATAAAAGTGGAATGTTTCTTCGACCCATGATGCCGTGACTTGCCAAAATGGATTCGTGCCTCAAGTTTAAGAACGCAAGCGCAAGTGTGCCAAGTGTCCAAAAGTACTGATCTTCGTTACATAGTCAAAGTAACATTGTGACGTTTCAAGCGAACTACTATAGCGCTTGATGCTACGTTATAATCATAAGATGCAAGAATACAGTTTTCCATTTGGATTTTCAAAGTTTCGTTTCCTTGTTTCCCTGCCAGGGATTGTCCACATTGCTAAAGTCAACCCGTTTTCCAAATTTCTTGAATTTACAGGGTTTCAACAATCCTCTGTGCTTGTGGAAACGCAACGAGCAAGAAACGCAGGAGTTTTTCACGGCTGGTGGATGGTCCGATGTGTCCTGTGAGGTGCAGAGAGTCAATTTGATTCACAACGCAGAACGCGCCAAACGTAGGCTGGATTTCAATCTCAGATTTTTAAGTATAGTTGCAAGCTTTCGTGCATCGACTTTCACACCGGAACACGCTCCATTTTACTGTTTATTTCTTCAGACACAGTGTCTTCACGTTGTTCTGTGTGTGGAGGGGTTTATATTTTTGTCTTTATTTATTTTGTATTTTCCTTAATAAAAAGGCGGATATTTCGCCCATTTCTTTCGGAATGATAACGGCTTGGCAGGGTTTCTCATTAATTTTAAAGTTGTCTAAACTAGAATCTCTTAATGGTAAACTTTTCATCTAAGAGTGACACTCACATTAAAGAGCTTCTTCGTTGGTAATCGTTGAGGGTGCTCCTGCACGGAGGATATTAACTCCCCTTAGGTCGTTTCTTACTTGACAGTTATTTTGTGGGACATGATGGGCCACGTAGACCAAGTCGATGCGGCCAAGCGGGAGAAGTGCCTGGAAGATCTGTGGCAATGGGCCCGGGGCGAGTACCAACACACCGAGGACGGAAGTATCATCAAGCCCGCTGATTGGATGGTGATTCACGCTCGCAAGTAGTCATGCGGCCAATCTGTAATATTCTGGAGTGATTACCAACGATACAGACAGGCGGCTTGCAGTGAAACAGCAAGGGTCTTTACAAAATAGATCAAATAGATCAAAAGAATGCATCAAAAATTGGCCAAATAAGAAATTCCATTTGGTATAACACAAATTAATGATTTTGCGTAGTGTTAACATTTGTAGTTTGCAAATTGTCAGTAAATAAAGGTGCATGGTCGTACGTTTCTGATGAAACTGTCTTTCTTTGGTGGTGCACCAGTTTTAATGGTACGAATTTCTCCCTTTTGGCAGATCCTTTGGCTAAACTAATTAATGTGATAATGAGATTCTAAAAATGTTTTGATAATTGGAACATGTAGTTTTCTTTCGTTACTGCGCACTCAGTATGAAGGCCAGCAATATGAGCGTTCAAATTAAGTGCTGTGAGTGTAATAAATCATTTGCCCTAGGATAGACAACTTGGACAAGTCCATAAAATCAGCCTAGTACTAAGCAGTAATGTATCTGGGTTTTGGATTGGGAGGCAGGGGGTATAAAATAATTTTTCCCAAAAAGATTATCCATAAGACTTGAAGGTTTTCACGGTGAAAGAAACTAGATGAGTAAAACGATTGCGGTTACACCATGGATCAGTCTCTTTCTTGAGTTTGTGTGGTTCTGAGAAGAGCCGGGGAATAACTCGACGTTTCAAACAGTGTACTCTGTCAGTCTTCAGGAGACTGCAGGATTCTGACTGGGAGTGGAGCTTACCCTATATGGTGTAGAGAGATCCAGATGTAGGGATTAGCTCGGTAAAGCGTTGAGACGGGAAAGATTATCCGTTTTTCACCCGTTACCCCAATTATTTTACAGGTGAAAAAAATGGGTAATCGTTTTGGGAAAAAAATTCTTAACATCGTCTTCGTCCCCTAATTATAGCAGGTGGTACATACCGTTAGAGACATTTTTTGTCCATTAGCAATTGGCAACATGTCTCGGGGGAGGCTACTTGCCTCTCTGCCCTCCCCCAATCAGCCATGCAAACATGACGAGACTCCAGGCTGACACAAATACAGAGTAAGGACACGACCATTACAACAGGCCAGCACCTGTCGCAACCCCCCTTCTCCATGCGACTTAAAGGTCCGCTTTGGGGGAAGAAAAAGATGTTGAGCTATAGCGGAGCATTTGGCGCAAAAACTGAATGCCGCGCGCTTCGGTATTTTTCACCTCGGTCATATAATCCCCTCTTCTGGAGTTTACTCATAACCCCTCCCCCAACACAATTGGTACGACCTTAGGTACCTGTCGTTTTTCAAAATAAAACAGCAAAAGATCTATGACTCAATATTATGCAGACTCCATAAAGACTAATGAAAGCCATGTTTGATTCAATATTTCGTTCTTTATTCAGAACATCTTCAGGAATGAAGAAGTTTCCTGAAGATGGTCTGAATAAAGAACGAAATATTGAATCAAACATGGCTTTCATTAGTCTTTATGGAGTCTGCATAATATTGAGTTATCTGAATATTATCAGTGGATCACCTACTGGTTTTTAAAAGATCTATGCTTGGTCTACTTTCCGGAGGATTCGCACCCCCCCCCAAAAGTCCTAGTTACGGGCCTGTACAATGTACCCCCATCTGCCTGCCCTATACATACGACTAGAGACAATGGAAGGTGTAGCGGTCAAGGATCATTATGATGGACCGGCCGACCATTCACAAACAACCAAGTCTGAATCATGTGAACGAAAAAAATTCCATTTTTTTTACAAATCATTCTTTTATTCCTGATAAAGACATACATATACGCATATACAATTTCACACACAATGTATAAATTTTGGTTTTAATTTTAATCAGTACAAAACTGCAGTGTACAAAGAACAAACCAAAGTACACAAATAAAACACACGGACTTTGTCATGAATTCTGAGACAATGATTAAGACATTAATTATACAAAACATTTAACTTACAAATTCAAAGAACGTGCGTAAAGGGAATCAAGTGAAAAGAAACAACCAAACCAAAGCCAACATAGATAAACAACTTCTTACGGGCTAGGAAATCACAGACAGGAACGTGAGAGGGTCTTTGGTTCCAAATTACGGGACACTTCAGACATTGAACTCACAGGTGTAAATTAGCAACTTACAGGCAAATAAAACAGGAACTTGTACAAAAAGAATAAACAGAAGTGATAAGCATAAACGATGAATTTATTGACTTTAAAGTACTGAAACACAGCAATAAATCCTTGGTTTTACTTTTTCCTGGCTGCTCGTGCGCGTAATGTTTAGACACGATGTGACTTGTGACCGGCCACCGTGAGTGCATGCGTAAAGTAAGTGATGGAGGGTTTAGTCGAATCTCTGACCAAGCAGCATCTGTCAGCATCAGAAACGATGGAGTTTGAAAATGAAGCTTGAGAAGCAAAGGGCAGAAAGGAACAAATTCGGTGGCCGTGTGCTGGCTGTGTGATGGCCTTGTGGTGGACATGCGTTGATCAAGTGGTGGGCATGTCGAGGCCACGTGCTGGCCATATGGTGACTCCAAAGAGGCAAAAAAATGACCAATGGATGGCCAGGGAAACAACATTACTGCCATCTGACGGATGTACAGTGCATAAGTACATGTTAACCAGCAAGTTGCGATGATAAAATCATCACATGCATCCCATGGGATGGCCATGCAGTAGCCACGTGATAGATATGGGATTGCCATGTGGCGGCCATGTGATAAATCCAGAAGGGCCATGTCCTGGCCATGGGATGGCTATACAGTGGCCTTGTGATAGTTACCGGATTGCCATGTGGTAGCCATGTGAAAAATGTGGAAGGGTCATGTGTTGACCATGGGATGGCCATGTGGTCGCCATGTGACACCCTTCAATAAATAAAAGCTGGCAACATATTTCAGTTCTTATCAGCATTCTCATCTGTTTGACTGCCACTTGTACAGCTTCACTTGTTTCTCTGTCAAAGCAGCCAGGAAGCTGTGTTGGTTGAACTGGAAGGGGCAGACGTCCAGAACTGTCGCATTCACCGTCAGTTTCTGAACTTGGTTCCCATTGGCTGTGTCCCAGATCAGGGCCTTCATGAAGTGAGAAATCAATCGAAGGAAATGACTGCAGGTCAAGGCGGGCATAGTGGTTCTTTCCTCGCCTTCCACCTCTGCGGTTCAGGTTCGAATCCTGGCCCGGTCCACATGTGGATTGGGTTTTCAGTCCCTACCTGATTCCATGGGTTTTACCCAGAATATTCCTCTGGGGTTTTCCTCCCACCTCTAAAACTGTAACTGCTTCGCATTGTCTCCTCTCTACAGGTTTCTTCAGGCTTGCGAGCTCGCAGTACCCAGAGCACTTTTGAGGATTCCTTGGTTTCATTACCAGAATTAAATGTAATAATAATAATAATAATGGATTGTTTCTCAGTGTTCTGTTGGACACAATTTTATCGGAGTACTCACCGATGATGAAGCTTCATCCCCCGAGCAGGCATAGAGCTGATCGGGCTTGTCCGGGCTTTGGTAGAGCGTGGACCGAGTCAGCACCTTCATGGTGGGCCCACCGTAGAAGGTCTGGACAGGGTAGCAGGCCACTTCATTAGACGAAGTGGCAGCGTTCCTCTCATTCTTCAACTCGCACATCTGTTAGGAGACAAGTTGGAAGGAACGATACCCATTAAACCCCCATGTTGAGTGTTTTTTTAAAGTCATTTGTCGAGGGACATTGCTTTGGAGCCTCTGCTGGTAAGTGCATGGAACCATTAGAGGCATTTTTATGGAAATCACGGTCGTTCATCAGTACATGACAATGTGAAAGATACTAAGGCTGTGTCCGAAATGGGCTTCCAGAGCTACGGCTAGGTCTATTGTCTACGCGTCTCCATGCATTTCTAATGGAGTGAAGACCTAGACCTAGCTCTAGACAAGAGATTCGGATGCAGCCTAAGATTCCGGCAGTATGCACAGGGCTCCTGGTGGAGCAGGTGTGTTGATCCCTTCAGTGGTGAATCCTCACTGGGACTGGCTACCATTCTGAATCACACACGGTACCAAGACCACCACATGAATACTGTTGAATGAGCATTTAAGTTGTACATTTCGGATTTTCCACATGTAATGCTGATACTCACCACGTGCCTGGTACTGTTGTAATTCTGGTTTGGACGGAAGGAAGCCAGGCAGTGTCGGCTGTTGTTGTGGAAGCTCAGTGAGGTGCACTTCCCGTCCATTTGGAGGAGGTGGGGCTTGAAATCGAGGTCGGATGTCTGCTCCCAGAACGACATGCCTCCAAGGGACGCCATCAGAAGTCCCCCACACCTTTACTCGATAAAAAGGGAGAATAAAAGGAAATCTTGGGTATCTCCTTGAGCCACAACACACACCTGCTGGCTGTATCTTGAACTTTGATTTTAGAGTTTTGCTTGAGGTAATTGGAAAGGCGTCCACTTCTAGCACAAAGTGAAGACTTCAAGAACCCACACTGACTGGGACCTTACGGGGAAATGAAAAGTCACCAACAAGGAACAACTAAAGAAAGCTTCTACCGCAGGTGAATCTATTCAAGCCCTCAATCTTTCGAAACCCACTTGACGATTTTGTTCGAGGACTTTGCCGGATTGAGAAATGTGGGGACCAGTTAGTCCTTGTGGACCCGATGCCGTTTGTAAGTTGAAGTTCAAAGAGTGTGCCATACTGGTTTCCTGCGATGAGAAAGTTTTCAGGAAGATATGAGAAAAAAAACGCAGATGTTGTTCAAAGGCCCATTCACAAAAGCACTGCAAACACACATCACAAGTACACCTGCGATGAACGTAAAGTAAATCACAGTGCGTCAGGAACGTCATTCATTAGAGAACGTCATCATGCAGGACCTTTGTTTTGGGCAGATATTGACAATATTCTCAGATAAGCCCAGAGCTGGACCCAGAGAGGCTGCAATGTTCTGAGCAACGGAGGTTCCTTTGGTCGGAGCTGATCTCTGCTGGTTCACGAACGACTAGCAAATGCACGCCTTATCATCGCATTGCTACCAACAAAATGAAAACTACCATCCATCAGTGGCTTTTTTCAACCAATGAGGGGGTGCTTCTACTCAAGGCGGATACTCACCCAAGAGACTGATCAGCTGCCCTGGGTACATAATTCAGAGACACGATGGGACATCTAGAGTTGTCCAGAGCCAATCGGTGCACCTCTTGGTTCACTTGTCTGGTGTCGTAAATCAGGATGGCACCATTTTGCAGGCCAGCATAGATATAGTTGACGTCAGACGAGTTCCACGCACAACTCCACGCAGGAGCATCTGTCTTATACCTAGAAAGGAATGGTCAGAACGTCATCAACCCTAACCCTGCCAGACCCAGCATAGTGCAACAGGTGTACGAATCTAGTGCACTGGGCAATCAACAGCAGCCGAGCAAACTGGCTATGTTAAGAAAGTGGGAGATAGTCCCATCAATTGAATAATGCCACTGTTGGATCTTGTGGTGACTGGCAACCACAGATTTCCTGGCTGTTTGGCCTTGGGGACACAGAGTTTTCCCTGGGGTACTGATATGTGTCAAATATATTTTGCAAAACTTCAATTGCCTAAAACAAAAGGGAGTGTTTACAAAATGGCCTTAAATAACTTCTACAGAGTGTAACAGTACATTTCACTTCTAAAATAAATCGACCTTATATTGTGTGTCCCTCTTTACCATTCTGAACAATTGGAATGTAATCTTTTTCAAAATATGTAAGTTATGTTTCTTCTTCCTTCCATCTATGTGGCATCTTTCCTTCTGGCTGGGTTTCCAGCCAAAGTACCCTGGAGCTGCAGCTTTGAAGTTCAAAAGAAGTTGTTCAAATCTTCTGCATTTCATTGATTTGACAATTATTGGAATACGGCATTTAAAATCACACAGTAGATTACTGAAATGCGAATTTGTGTAAGTCTAGGTACTATACTTGATCCTATAATTTCTGAGAATGCTGTGATGGCTGTGTACATGTATGTTTGGGGGTTCACGTCTGCTGATAGGTTTTACACTAGAAGCTATATACTGTATGTAGGCAATGCTCAATAAAGCTGGTCGATGAGTTATCGGGTGGTTGCAAATGATCATCAAGAGAGCCCATAACCTGGCATCCTTAAGTTAACAATGAAGAAATCTTTAAAAGTACACACGTCTGCACCACTGCATTACTGATAAGGCTGGTCATCTTGATGGTCTTGTCCACTGAGGCAGTGAGCATCAGGCCGTCGTTTCGTCCGTTGAAGATGAGCGCCCGGATCATGGCTGTGTGGATGGGTACGTACTGGGTACATCTCATATCAACTGCGCTCACCTGTTCTCGGAGAGAAAGAAAAAATACAAGCAGCCTTGTATCGGGAAACCTTTACAGTTTGAGGACACTGTGTGAACCAGTGTTGTATTCTAGTCTATCACAGGTCCCTGTCACATGTCCGTCACAAATCATTCAGTCACAAGCTATTCAAATTATCAGCGAGAAGAGCATTCTTCTGTCATTGTTCAACCTGTATCTTCTGACTGGCTTTGTGAAGGGACTCCTGACTGGCTTTGTGAAAGGACTGGTGAAGGGACTTGTGACGGACTCTGATACAGCACTGCTGCTGCAGACTGTCAGTGCTATGGATGCGAAACTTACATTCTTATATAAATCAACCCTTTAATCTGTCTGCAGATGCAGGCATGACAATGAAAGGATGGTTATTTTTCTCTAGGTTAAAACAGTACCCCGAAAGAGACAACGGTTTTTTTTTTAAATGGGAATGGAGCACTCAGAAAATTACTTCCTACCTTTTTCACCCCAAATCCAGGGAAGAGCTGGTTGGGAGAGGGCATCGACACCACTAACGCACTCTGAAACTGGTCAAACCCCATCACGCGCGAGTTGCCCGTCTTCGATTTAAAAAGATGAACAGACGTGAGATACAAAACAAAATAAAAGCAAAGTCCTGATAGCCCCGAGGTAACAAAAAGAGCGCACGAGGCAACGTGGCTCACTGGCCAAACTGCTGGAGGAACCGACCAACTTCCGAGGTACGAAAATCCGCAAACAGACACTTCAAATGCTTTCAGACTTTGCAGAATAGCTTGAAGGACAAAAGCAAAGGGCAGTGATCAGTGCACGACTAGGAGTTTTTTGGGTAACTCTTTCCTGACCTGAGATATCTGTATGGTCTTGTCCAAGACATACTGTCCCTGTGGTCCACTGGCAGCCTCACTCTGTTGGCTGGTGGACGTCGTTGGTTGGCCAGCCGTGGATGGATGTTTGGAGAGGCTGAAAAGTACATGTGCATGTAACACGTTAAAAGGTGCAACTCTACCAGGACTTTAATAGTAGTACCACATTTCAGCGAAGAGTTGCAACTGATGAAAGTAACGATGTTACACCCTCTACACTTCTGTCGAGGTCTCCTGAATTGTTCTCAAATCATGGATCATACTAGAAATACCGGCCCAGTTTACCTCGTGCTTCGGAGCTGGTCCTCTTGAGCGCTGAGCTGCGCTTTCAAGCGGTTCATCTCCTGCATGGCCATCCGGAGCTGCAAGTTGGCCTGGGCCATGTCGATCTCCACTTTCCTCCTAACCTCCTGCAAGGCGACGAAACGATGACAGCACGGCAATGGCACACAACGCAGGGAAGTGATTCAGGGGAGAGATGGGAGGGCAATGAAATAACTACAAATAATCACCAGAGTTTTGAGGACCCCACAGCGGCGTAGGATCAGGGTATACATTTGTGTTTGCCTGAAGGCACTCCTTCAAACACCCATATCAACTTTTATGAGTAAAAGCACTGTGATGATAAACTCAGGATTTTCCACATTCTTAACCCCTTCACGGCAGGATTATTTTGCTGGGCTGTGGCATGCACTGAATGGAGGGCTTTGTCCAGTAGCAGGCCCCATTGAACCAGCAGCTGCATGGTGAACAGACTGTATGTGTGGTATGACTAATCCTCACACAAAGGTGCAGAAGTAGCAGCCCTCCATAGCGAAGGGTTTAAGAGATTGTTTGATAAATCCTAAAAAACAGGAAAATCCTGGAGGAAAAATCCTGACAAATCCCATTGCGATGGTTATAGTTTGGGCTCATGTGCTTCCAGGTCTGTTTGGAAAAGATGGTTTTGGTCCCCTCTAAGAAAAAAATGGAAAAAAAACCAGGGAAAAACCCGGCCAAACATAGACCTTCTCTTTCTTCAGTTCCTCCAGAGCCCTGTCCCTCTCTGATGTGTCTACAGTCCGCAGTGACTTTGCATAGATGATTCTTATGTCCGTCTTTTTGGCTTTGGCATTGCACTGTGGGCACTTTTGGTTCGCTTTAAGCCATTTGAGAATACAGCTGTAGAAGGGAAGCGAAAGATATTATAAACAATCCACGATTCCTACATTTGTAAGGTATACACATGTACTTGCTTATCAGTAGCACTCTAGAATCCTCCAATATAAACATACATGTAACCTTTCACATACTCGAGGCAGTCACTTGTTGGGATGTTTTTCTTAGCATCATTTCCTGCATTTGCTTGATCTACAGTTGATCTACACAGGAGTCCCACGTGCAATGTACAAATGATTTTCCAACTGTTAGCACAGCCTCTCCGCTTGTCACCAATCAGCGGAGACCCATTTACCCTAACCCTGCCAAACGCAGCAGAGGGCATCAGGTGAGAAAGTCACTTTGATGCACTAGGCAATCAACAGCAGCCCAACAAACTGGCCATGATGAGACAATGGGAGCTAGTCCCATTGAACAATGCCACTGTTGGATCTTGTGGGGACTGGCAACCACAGACTCCCAGGCTGTTTGGCCTTGGGGAGAGTTGATTCATTGGATCTTGTTACACTGAACATGCAAGCTACTTTGACAAATGATCCAGACTCGAGTATCTGGGCAGGGTCTCTAGCCAAAGTACTCTGGAGAGTGAGGGTTAACGCACAGAGTGGATAGACGGAAAATTGTAGCCAAAAGACTATCCACTCCAAGAACTCTCCTAGGCGCATGAATCACAAAGCACTCACCAGTGACCAAACAAATGGCCACACCTCAGAGATGCCAGCCGATGCTCACCAGAATTAGTCCAGGGTTCATAGCAGATGATGCACGACTGCTGCAAGTCAAAAAAAAAATTATACCCCTACAGATCTCTCTCAAAGGACACCATCTTTGCAGGAAAATTACAGTGGAGTGTCAATGCCATCAGGTTAGTGTGTGCAAAATGTAGTGTGCAAAACGCAGTGCGCAAAATGTAGAGCGAAAATGTTCTAATGCATGCAGTGACCCACAAATTCCAATATTGTGAGAAACGGTGCAAACTCACTGAATCATCGTCACTTTCGTCAGGTACAGCACAACTTGATGTGGTAACTCGCTTAGGTGACTTGAAATCCCCTCCTGTGCCTTGTGTAGGGATTCTGGAGGATGATGGTGGCGCTGCAAGGGCCACCTGTGAAGACCCAGTCGCAGGTGCTACATGTAGAGGCCCAGCAGCAGGTGTTGCATGTGAAGGTGCAGGTGCCACCTGTGTAGGCCCAGCTACAGGTGCTACTTGTGCAAGCCTTGCAGCTGACCCAGACACGCTCTCTGCAGGTACCACAGGAACAAATCCATCGGGCACAGCGACAGCCTGTGATTGTTCAGGTGCAGGAGTTGGTCTTGAAGGTCCCGGTTCGGATATGGAACCTGCAGGTGTATCAATGTGTGTGGCTTCAATATGAGCTGCCACAAGTGCAGGAGTTGTTCTTGAGGGTTCAGACCCAGGACCCTGAGGTTCAATTCTGTCAGTGTCAACTTCCATAACCTCATCTGTGTCGCTCACTTCGATGACAATGGAGTCACTGTCACCATCGCTCTCCGTGTCTTCGTCATACTCCGCAGGAATAACGAGTCTTCTCCGTGGACGATTTGCATCCAACTGGCTCGTCACAACAACAGAGGCACTAGATTGGCCGGGCAATAGCTGAGTTAGATCAATGGTCACTGACTGATGACCATCCTCCTCATCATCCATAGAGTTGAGAATCATTCGGCGGCGTTGGTGGGGAGCATGGATGACCTCAGAGGTCCCTTCGCTGTCCTCAGTTGCTGAAAGAGTCCTGCTGGGCCCAGTGTGGCTGGGTCCAGGTTGGGATTGGTTGGGGAGGACTGCCTCCGACCATCTCGTTGATGTTGGCAGTGTTCCTCCATGACTTGACTGACTGGTGCTGTCTGGCCTGTGTCCTGACTGGTCAGCAAGAGTCCTGACTCGAGGGAGATCTTGAAGCAAAGATTCACTGTCTTCATCGTCGTCTGAGTGGGACCCGCTGCCTGGATGGCTGGTATTGCCTGCCTGGTCGGATGGGCCAGTACTTGGGTGCCTTGTTTCCGATGGTGACGGGTCAGATCTTCTGAAAAATGTACCTGATGGTCCATCACCATCAGTAGTTCCTCCTGATTGGTCAGTTAAGGCAGAAGACATGGCTTGGTCACCGCATCCTTCCTGTCGTTAGTCTAAATTCTGGTACACAACGTACATTGTAGGCCTACTTCTTGCTTAACTGTGATTAGTTACTAGGACTCAAAATACAGCTGCACGTGTACATGAAAAGGAGGTGCCATTGCTGCAAAGATAAAAAACAAATAATTTCAAATCAGACTAAGATGGATTCGGACATCCTACGACCACAAGTACACGTAAGCCTAGGCTAACTGTACGTGCACCAGTGCATTTGTTACGCCCAAGCTATGGCCTCTGTCCCAATTTAACTTGGCCATAGTCGGGGCATAATATGTTCACCATGTTTGCTGCATTAACTCATCATGGCATAAAAACTACGCACCTTCAAAGATTGGGCTCAACACTACTTGCCGCAAACTTAAAAGGCCTATGCTAGGGGCATACATACATGTAAATGAGTGAGGGTGCTGTTTATGTGGAAATTCATTTTCTTGCATAGGAAACTGTAATCAAAATTCCTCTTGTTTTGCATGTTGTTGCTCCTCTATTTAATTTCCAATTTCAAAATTTTTGAAATTTCAAGAGAAGCCAGTATTTGATTCATTGAAATAAGGCACAAATATTATTATTAGAACAAAGATTTTTACAAAAATATGATTTTTGAGGTTTTCAGTAAAAATCCACACTCAATTTTATAAAGCCTGAATAAAAATCACCAATGCACCTGGGGTAGTAAAACTGCACAAGTTTCAAATCTGTAACCTTTCAAAGACTGTGCTTAACACAGGAATGCATGGCACTTGACCACTTGTCAAGTGCCATATGCATGCATACATATATCATATGCCACTATGTGAGATAACTTCCAATCTAGACAATGGCAGATTCCTTTCAAAACTGAATACAGATGCTTGATGTTACCATGGACATGCAAGTCAAAAAACTAACATTTTATAATAAGCTTCATTCCAAGACAGTACATTAAGGTATTGGATAATAATAGGTCTCATACAAAAATACATGAGGCCTATCGATACAAAACCAAATGTCTCTCCCGCCAAACGTCTGGACCAGCAGTGAACGTACTTCGAATTCGAGAAATATGGTAGACTGGTTACTTAATATACATTTACAAGAATGTGTATAAAACTTAGGATAGAGTCTGGGAATCAGACTTAATTTCAAAATGTGTTTTTCCTATGTATTATTTTTGGAAAGAGAAATAAGCTATGGTACACTTTAAATTAACTGTAACAACATATAATTGTAGTACAAATTATTTTAAAGAAATATTTTAATATTATCAAAGTGTATAAATGAAGAAACATTCAAAAGATATTATTAAAATGTGAAAGAGGCACAAAGTTCCAACATGGCGACTTCCAATTGGTTTCCGCGGAACGCAGAAGATGTGAGGGAATTTAACCTTTTTGTCGTGCATTTTCTTTGTAATTTTCAACTTTCATTATCAAAAATAGTTGCATTATCAGTGATTATTATTGGTGCAGGCCAATATCATTGGCATTTTCTAAGCCATGGATATATGCTTTAACGTTAGGCAGCGATGCATGTTGGTTATCCGTGCATGTCATTGTGTCATGGATCGTTAGCCAACTCGACTTAGGACAATTCGACCGCTTGGCAAGTCGTTCGTTAGGACAACTTGAGTTGTCCGGATCCCCATGCTCCCTTTATCGTAATCTGACCAACATACAGGTGACCAACGTAACTAAGAGGTCACCAGCCCTAACTTCCGGCCAATAAATGGTAGGGAAGAAAATTTGACACATCTCAGGTAACAGCAGGGGTGAAATTTCTCCCTTTTTTAGTGGATTTTAGCTTTTTTGGTTTTGGATTTCAGCCTTTTTTCCTCACTGGCTGTGTACAAAAGTACAGGAGATTTTCACAATTCTGCTTCTTTATGCCTTTTTTCAGCCGTTTTCAGCTATTTTTATCATTGGTCAATTTCACCCCTGTAATTTGGTAACAGATCAGACCATCAGACCACGTAACGCTATACATGTACATGTATTTGTTTAATACAGTGTACATGTACATGATGTAATGTGTATAAATACTGTACAGTGATCATCAGTTTTCGGCATGATTTGCAGTACATGATTGTGCAACTCTGTAGCCTGGTACATGTACATACAGTGTACATGTAAGTAGTGCAGCCCAATATTAAGTGTTGTGCGGTCAGTCAATCCTTTGGGAGATCTGTGACTTCACTTTCCCTTTTCAACAAGCAAACCTGTGATGGTGGAGTGATGGCAGAAGGATTGACATATTGTGCTACATGTACAGATGTATATGTAGATTAGCACAGATTGATCGATCGTGCCCAGCATTCGCCAATAGGGTAGCCTTCAGTTCATGTCCATGTAAGGTCTGACATTAAACTTTGGGCACCAGTTTGGAAGTTTGGCCTATTGTATGTGAAGGGTGTAATTCCAAAATGAGATATATCCATTTGAAAAACACACAATTTTTCCACAATTATGAAAGATCGAAGAGCTTAGCAGTGTACCATTTATCCTTAAACTTCTTCTTTACTGTACTGACTCATTAAAGTTATGTTGCACTGTCTAAAAGCTGCAGAAACTGATGGCCGGCAACTAAGAGAGGGTAAGATTCTGAAAGATACCAAATTGGCACCTGTCGCATTTTGGAAATAAACTCTTATACGTGCATTGACTTTGCCATCTGCCAGTCACCAAGGCAGGTGCCAACTCAGTCAATCACATTTTTTTCCTAAGTCACACCTCAGTGACCTCTAGAAGATCGGTGTTGAAAGAGGGGAAACTGATTTCTGTGTTTAGGTATGCAAATCGGGATATGTGATGATGGCCCAGTGGCCGTTTTGTCAACTGATGGGTAATTGCCAGCGTGAGACATGTTTCACCGGGTTGGTTATCTTTTTTCTCCACTTGCAGAACAATTCAGCTGTCATCAATCTGACAGACAGCATGCTGGAAAGTGACGACTTGGATGCCACGGCAGCAGACCCCACCCGGCAACCAGATGCCTCCGCATCCATGGAGAGGCAAGAGATGCCGAGAGTGGAGAGAAATGGAGAAGACCCTCAGTCAGCATTCATGGATGCAGTGAAGACACAGATGGCAGAAACGGTAGGGCGGCATGTGGCCTAGTGATTAGGGTTTGTAGCTTCTGATCATAGGGTCAGGGGTTCGAATCCAGCTGGTGGCAGCATGTTGTGGTCCTGGGT